TTATGAAATTCCAAATTAGTATAGAGAAGAGGGGTATCAATTCCTAGTTCTCTTAACCCTCTATTAGCATTCCTGCATTTCCACAAATGGGATAATATTTGTAAAGTGCTTAGCATAGTGTCTGGGCATTAGAGAAGGTGCTTAACAAAAACTTACTCCATTCCATTTCCACAACTTCTTCAACATGAATCATTCTTGATTTTTGTCATCTTTGCTAATTTTCAAGGTGTTGAGTGGAACCACAGAATTATTTTAATTTGCATTTCTCTTCCTAATGTTGATTTGGAGAATGTTTTCTAATGCCATTTACCGTGTGTAATTCTTCATTTTGAAAACTATTCACAGCCTTTGGCCACTTATCCATGTGTCAGGTTCTTATATCTGGAAATAATATTTATGGAAATATGGAAATCATATTTTATCAGTGATATTTGATGCAAATATTTTTCCCATTTGACAGTTTCTTTTGATAATGTCATTGATGCTATTTGTGCAAACACTTATCAAAAATATGTAATTTTTATGATTGCCTCTGTCCCTTGTTCAGTTAAGAATTCTCCCTTTGGCCACAGTGACGACAGGCATCTCCTCTCATTGCTTTCTTTTTTTTTTTGAAGGATATAACCTTTAATATGCATGTTAAATATCAATTTTGAGCTTAAAGTATATTCTGTAATGGTTTGCATGTAATGGATGCTGTAATATGCTTTTCCTTTGAAGAAGAGATTCTCATTTGTTGTGGTGGTCTCTGGAACTTCTATTTGAAAACAGGAGCCTTGAGGAAATGACCTCTGGAAGTTGCTCTCCTGATTATGATGGGAAACTACCGTGTTTGTGGGGTAGGTTGAGAAGTTGAGGCATAACAGAAGGAAGAGTCTCAGTAGTAGGAGACTTCACCTATAGTACAACTTCATATTATCTCTGTGAACCCAGAGAACAGCTCATACTGCCCCCAGGAGGGAATCTAGCCATTGCAATTAACCTAGCTCGGTAATTAAAAGCTCTTAATTAATCAATGAGGGCAGTGGGGGCAGGCACAGCTGATGGGAGGTATAGTGGTGGGGCAGAGAAAGACAGAAACTATGCGACTTGTCTCCACACCACCCACTCTATTTCCCTATAGAGGAAGGGCAGTAAGTACTGCTGGTGTTTTGGAGGACATTTGGTCTCTGCTTGGCCTGTACTTGAAGCTTTCCCAGAATTGGCTGGAGGTTGCCTCTTTATGAGACAATTGCTACTTTTGTCCAGAAAAATCACTGACTAAATCCCAAATCAAGCCCTCCTAAACCCTTCTCACCCCACCCATCCCAATCCCTTGTGATCTGACTCTTTTGACACAATCCCCCAAGACCTGATTTCCTAGAACCAGATGCCCTTTAGTCCAGCATGTATTGAGATACCACCTCGAGACACCAATAGCAGCTGAAGAGGCCACTTCAGGTATTTCTAAGGAGACCCCTCAATGTTCCAGCTGAGCATCCCATAGGCCTGGGGACAGAACCAGTATCATCTATCATGTGTTGCTTGGGACCAAAGGACTGAAGTGGAAAATCCAAAGCAATGTATTGTATTTTTTTTTTTCCTGAGCATGGTCTAGTCCATTACTCTGGAGGTGGAGAGCTGGCCCACTTGGAGAAGCTGGAGAGTAAGGTGGAGGTATATGGGGACTGGTGGGAAGGAGAGAATAGTAGAGATGAAAGGGGACAGGTAAAAGGGGAAGGAGAAGGGGAGGAGGAGGAAGAGGAGGAGGAAGAGGAGGAGAGGCACTAGAGGGAAGAGTTTCTTTAGAGAGGCACACAACAATGAATTGCAACCTTCCCAGTCCTAAGGTTGGGACAAATCTGAAAGGTCAAAGGGAAAAAAAAAACAAAATCAAAGGGGAGTATTAATGGCACCAATTCCCTTTCTCTTCTCATAAAACCCTTTGAGGACCATGTATGTATTCATATTGATGCACTCAACACAGACTGAACCCTCTCCTGGCCTTCTCTATCTCTTCCCCCTGCCTCCTTTCCCCCAATCAAGGTTGAACAACACAAAGACCTTCTGGGATCATACATAGGGTATTTATCTCAGCCAAGGATAGCGTGCAAAAGACATCAGACATGGGAATGGACCTGTGTTTTCATTGGTATAGTGCAGGTGAGGAAACTCGCTTCACCAATGCAGGTTGGTACCTTCTCTACAGCCTATTGTCATAGAGTTTTCTGGACTAGAACATTGAGAGGGTGACTTGTTCAGGTTCACACAGCCAGTATATGCCAGAGGAAGGACCTGAATCCGGGTCTTCCTGTATTCCTCCATTATACCATGACAATTCCCAGATTGGGGGTGGGGGGTGGAGAAGGATGGTAAGAAAATTAAAGTCTGGCCTCTGGCATTTGGAATGTACATTTCTTTAGGCTCTGGGTGTTTTTAATTGACAGGGGTAGCTCTGTAGTATATTCTGAATTTGGTTTTTTTTTTTCTCCAAGACCTTGGATAACAGTCACTCTACTTGCACCCTTATCTACATGATTCAGAATTGAGTATAGAATAACAGATATCACAGATATAGAGCTCAAAGGCCCCATCACTTCAGATAGCCCAAGAAGTGATTGCCCAAAGTCACACAGGTAGTAATCATCAGAGATGGAATTTGAACATTCTACCCCTTCTTTCTTCACCCCCTCCTTTTTCCTCCTCCTCCTTCTTTTCTCACTCTTTTCTCCCACCTCTTCATGTAGCAAGTCAGAGTAATCTAAAAAGGCCAGGCTAACACAATCACCCGCAGAATGCTTGTCTCTCCTTCACATTAATCCATAGCCATCTTCTCCTTCAAGCCAGAATGGATCTCTGTTCAAGCCTTCCTTTACATAAGAGTCACCTCAACATTTACCAGTACAGTGTGAAAGTATATTGTTCTGTAATAACAGCAACAACAACGATATAAACAACAACAATGATATAAACAACAACAATAATAGATAGCATTTTTATAGTGCTTTAAAGTTTGCAAAATGCTTTACAAATATTATCTCCTTTAATCCTCACAACAATCCTGGGAGACAGGTACTGTTATTGTCCCCATTTTAAAGATGAGGAAACCAAAGCAAATAAAAGTTAAGTGACTTGCCCAAGGTCACACAGCTAGTATATGTCTGAGGCAGGATTTTAACTTGGGTCTTCCTGACTCCAGGTCCAGGATTCTATCCACTGTGCCCAACTAGCTGCCTCCAGGTGTATTTGTAATGCCTTGCACTTTTACTGACAGACTCTTAAAAACCAGAGGGGTCCTTAATCATTCAGTCTTCTTGTAGGAATCCTGAAAGGCAGTCATCTCATCAGGTTTTAGGAAGAATCAATGTACAGTGGGAAGAACATGGGGTTTGGAGTCAGAGGACATAGGTCTGGATCCTGACTCTGTCATGTCCTGGGGCAAACCTCTTCCCTTCTCTGGGCTTTAGGTCTCCTCATGTGTAAAGCGAGAAGTAGGGCTAGATGGCCTGGAAGGCCCCTCCCAGCTTTAACTCTCATCTACCACTTCCAGTGACAGTTATCCATATCCCAGGGACTCAGATCCATTGCCCAACCACCTTAACTTTTGCAAGTTGTCCCTTGTTTGTGGATTTTACCTACTAACAATGGCTAACACTGATATAGAGTTTTAAGATTTACAAAGCATTTTGCATTCATGACCTCACTTGAGCCAACAAACCCGTCTACCTAAACTTTTGTACCCAAAATGGCTGGGAGCTCTTGGAGGCAAGAAATTGTTTTTAGTTCATTTTATTTCATTTATCCCCTGTTCCACCCCACATCCCAGCACCTTGGACAGGGCTGGGCTCAATAAATGCTTTTAAAAGACACTGTCAGTCCAGTTGGCAGTGGAGGACCCCATTCAGGAGCCAATATGCAACTGCTTCCTTAGCCTGTCTGCTGTGACAGCCTCTAACTCTTTTTTTCCTTTAAAATGTGAGTTCATCAAGGGCAGGGACTGTTATGTTTTCATTCGTATCTCCAACACTTAACGTAGTGTCAGGCACACAGAAAGTGCTTAATAAGTGCATTTTTTTTTTGACAAACTCCTTATTGATTAGTTCCCATAGGATGAGATTCCCAGTCTGCCATTAGGAATTCAAGACCATTATCCAGGACTCTGGGGCCCTGAAGGTAGGGGATTTCCCTGCTTTGGAATCCAAGCCTCCTTTCTCTGCCTGACTAGGCAAAGCAGATTTCTGAACAGTTTTTCTCCCATTCTCACATTCTCTTTCCCTTTCTCTTCCCTTCTCCTTTGCCTCCCTCCCTCCACTTCTCTCCCCCCTCCTTCCCTCAACAAAAACCTAATTTTCTAAATTTCCCAGCTCCTTCCTTTGGTGGAAGGCAAAGTTGAGAATTATTTTATTGCCGTGGCCGTTTGAGACTCATTAGTCATTTCATGTTCCTCCTTTGTCAGCAGGGACCCATTATCCTGCTTCTCATTTTCTTCCATCATATTTCTGTGAAGCCCTCTGCCCCAGATTGAGTAAGAGGTTCTCTCATCACTTTTCTTCTTCCCACACACATGCCTCCCACATGTTCCACCTACTCTTTTGGCCTTACTACATCCCTCCCCTGTAGTTACAGTGGTTAGACCTTATGGAGTGGGTGGGACAGGCTGAGTTTCAATGTTCTTTCTCTGATGTGTCTCTCCTCCTTCAAATGCCCCTCACTAGCCTCTCCAGGCCCTGCTCCCTCCCCCCCCTGGTTATATGTTAAAACTTTATTTGTTTCCGCTTTCAAGGGGAACCCCAATTCTTAGCCCCAACATATGCACCCATATCTTCTCTGGCTCCAGCCACCTTTCCCAGGCTGACCCCCTCAATTCCTGACAGAGACTATTCAGGGCAACTCCCTTTTCTTTCCTAACCTGACCAGGGTTATAGATTCCAAAATACTCTTCTGTGTATGTGTGTGTGTGTGTGTGTGTGTGTGTATGACACGCACACACACACACACACACACACACACACACACCCCAAGCCCACACACCCCATACCCACAGGCATACCCTCTTTGACTCAGCCCATTGTGATTTAGGATCCTTTCTCTCCTCCTTCCTTAGCCCCTATCCCTTGCCTTTCCTCCTACCCTTAGAAAATGTCAACAGCATAAGATCTCTATGTTGAACCCAGAAGTAGAACTAGTAGTCTTGACACCCCAGCTACTTCCCCAGTTTCACAATACAAGCCTACAAAACAACTTTTAAAAAAGAGGTTTGAGTAGCAATGGACCCAGGACCATGTATCAGGGAGTGAGTCATTTTGTTACTCTACTCTTTGTAGAGAAATGATCCCTACAATAATAGATTTCAGGGGTAGCAGAGCCCTCAGGCAGAAAATAGTCAGTCTCTCCTTCCCCGTTTAGGGAAGGGTAGTACCACTCATAAGGCACCTGCCCCTCTTGTTATAGTGAGCCAGAGAAAAGTGAGCCATGGGCAAGGAACAATGGCAAAGTCATTTCTGTGAGGGAGGAGTGCCTAGATTCTTGATGGGATGTCATGGTTTTCAGTGACATTGTCTCTTTTTGCTGATGTCATAATGAGTCCTGATGATGTGGCCATGGTTCATAACAGCATCACTGGACTTTCCAATGATGTAGCTGTGACATCACCACAAACAAATATATAATCATTGCCAGGAATTCTGATGACAATATCAGTTTCCACATGTGTCCTTAGGATGATGTCAGAATGGTTTTCATGAAGAAATTCATGAAGATGCTCTAATTCCAACTGGTGACATCTCTAAGGCTGATGATGGCAACCAACCAATCCTGTGGTTTCTAGTTGGATGGCTACATTGTGCTCCATGATGACAATATAGGTCACTAGTTTTCATTATCCATGTGCTCTTAATCTTCCATCCTGTCCCTTGGGTAGGCCTGTCCAAAGAGCAGACAGGGAGCACAGAAGAGCAAATTAGGTCTGAGACTCAGCAGCCTTCAGAGTCCCAGGGTCTTCTTGAAGACCCTGCTTTCCCCTCCATCTCTTATATACTCATCATCACAGTTTCCCATCTCTGTCTGGGTCTCATGGGTCCAATACTTCCTATGCTTTTATGGCTGCTCTGGGCAAGCAAGTGCTGGAGTATACCAAAGTTTGAGGAGGAAATGGTTTTCCTGCACAGATTGGGAAGAGTCAGGTGTGAGGAACAGTGGTGAGAGCATACTGAATGACGTGTTCCTCCCAATAATCAAAGTTAGATTCTAGGGTCTGTCCCTTCTGGTGTCCCCTTCCAACAACGGAATGTGTTCTCCATTCCATTCAGAGAGCTGTTGACTGCTTGATGCTATGGAAACTGACTCGGGTAGGGGACGTAGGGATGGACATGGCCCGAGCCACTCGGGCACGGATTGAATGTTTGTCTTGCCACCGATGCCACCTCTTCCGGACAGCTGAGCGGACCTGTAAGCAAAGAATGGAGGGTATTAAGATTATGGTAGGAAGGGAGTTGCTTCATAAATCCTAGAGACAGACTGGGCTGTCCACTCTTTCTGGATCCCATCATTTTTCTATTTTTCCCAGCTATGGAAACCAAGACCTAGTTTCACTGATGAAACATCAAATTCATGGCTTCCAACCCTCTGAGCAGTCCTCCAGACACTTGAGAAGGAAGGTGCAAAGGAATTGTTGAGCAGACCCATTGGGCAAATATTGGTAAGGGGAAAGCAGGAACCCCCAAGATTCACATCCAATACCTTCACCTTGGTGGAGGAGCTAGAAGCAGGTCCCCAGCCACCTCACTCCTCCAAAAATAATTTTATACACAGACATAGGAGGAGGAAGGGGAAAACACAGGGAGGCTATTATGTATGATTTGTGGCCCTAATATTCCATCCTGTCACCCCACAACCAGTCAAGTAGAAAGCCCAATTCTCAATAATGTCAAAAGTTTCTTTCATTTGGAAGGTACACTCCTTACCTCACTGTTGAGGAAACAGTAGAAGACAGATACGAAGAAACCCTGGTGGGAGGAAGGATAAGGCCATATTATTCAGAATAGGGGGTAGCATGGTGGCCTGCCCTTACTCAGAAAGCTTTGCTCATTCCATCTCTCCAGCTTTGACCTTGGCCACCCAAACTCCCTCTCTGTTCTTTGCACATACATCATCTCCTTCCTAAATTAGCTAGCATTCAACTCACTTCTGAAGGCCTTCTCTGAGTAACCATACCCTCCACTGGCAGCTCCTTGTGTCACTGCTGCTTGTCCGCGTTTCTTGTACTAGTCAGTAACTTGCTGTTGCTTGCCATCTCTAGACTGGTCCTCCAGAAGCCATCCCCCTAATATCTGGATGAACTACTGCCCTGGGGTTCAGCTGTCTTAATTGATGAGTGAGTGCAAACTCACTTAGCCCACTACAGCTGGCCCCATACCAGACCACGCCTCACGTCCTATAGAGCCAACTGCCTGGTCGTCTTACCAATTATTCTTCAGTAGCATCAGTATATTCCCTCCCCTTTCTATGTAACAATCCAGGAATATTGACTAATTTAGCACTGTTATTGCTTCTGGAAAGGGCATGTCAATTAACTGCCGTATGGACCCACTCACCAACCCTGTGGTTCACCAGAGCAGAACACTCCCTCCCCTGACCATCATTCTCCTGTATGTGTTGTCTCTCTCTATTAGATTATAAACCCCTTGCATTTCCAGGGCTTAGTACAGTCCCTGGCACATAATGTTGTTGTTGTTGTTGTTGTTGTTGTTGTTGTTGTTGTGGAGTCATATCTGACTCATCATGACCCCATTTGGGGTTTTCTTGACAAAGATACTAGAGTGGTTTGCCATTTCCTTCTCCAGGTCATTTTATAGATGAGGAAACTGAGGCAAACTGGATTAAGAGACTTGTCTAGGGTCACACAGCTAGTAAGTGTCTGAGGTCAGATTTGAACTCAGGAAGATGAGTCTTCCTGATTCCAAGCCCAGTGCTCTATCCATTGTACCACCTAGCCGCTTGGTTGGTGTATAATAAGAAATGCTTAATAAATTCTTTTTTTCATTCCTTCATTGATTTCACTTTGTCCATCCTTGATCACATGTCAGAGTTGACCTTAGAAACCTAATAACCCAATTCCCTTATTTTACCCATAAGAAAACTGAGGCGGAGAGAGTGTAAGGGACCTATCCAAAGTCAAATGGTTAATAATGCCTGGGCTTATACTTCAACTCTGATTTCCTTTTTGAGAGAGATATTTGAAATTAGAAAACCTGAGTTCCAACGTCAGCTTACTACCTGAGTGACCTAGGCCAAGGCACTTGACTTATAGTCTTTTCATCTATAAAATAAATGGGGCTGGACTCACTGACTTCTAAAGGTCCCTTCCAATTCTGACTCTATGATCCTAGGATTACTAGTCCCCTGCTTCTCTCATTATTCCATATGGGGCCATCTCCAGTCATCCTGATCTATATCTTGCCATTGGACCCAGATGGCTCCAGAGGAGAGAATAAGGCTGGTGACCTTGCATAGCCCCATCTCACTTAAATCCAATTCACTTGCAAGTCATGGCATCACATTCCTGATCTCACGGTCCTCTTCGAGAATGAAGGACAAATAACAACAACAACATAATTCCACAGCTGCATCATAAGCTATAGGAAGGCAGGGACACTACTCCCTCCTTCTCTGGTACCATCCCAATGGTGGGAGCCATAGCAGTCCTCAAACAATATGAAATTTTGTTAACAGATGGGCTGCCTGCTATACAAAAAGAAGAGCAGTCGCCAACCCCCATGCTTTCTCTTCCCACCTCCATCAAATTAGGAAGGCTGGGGAAGAGAGTGGTACCTGGAAGGACTCCAGGAAGGAGTTGAAGTAGATGAAGACAACTCGAGAGATCTCATCCTCCCCAGGGTTTACAAAGAACAACATGTATGTGATACCCAGAAGAGGCAACAGCACAAGGGTGGCTTTCACAGCTTTCCTAAAGGGAGAGGAAAAAATGGGGGATAGGAAATCAGGGGTTTGTGGATAGAAGCCTCATTTGCATCCCAGCAGAACCCTCCTACAGGACCTGTTGGAGGTCATTGGAGACAATAACCAGTGGCAGGTTGGAGGTGAGGGAATCTTTACTTAGGAGATCTCAGAGCAGGTGGAAGGGGATCTTGGGATTTGTGGGGGAGGAGCATCTCAAGATGGGAATCTTGGTAAGAGGTTTGATAGCATGAAACTCTGGAGGTGCTAAGAAAGCAGTCACCTATATTGAATGGTCTCTGACGTGGTGGAGGCCCGGAGCTTAGTCATGAGGATACGGACAATATTGAAGAGGAAGATGAAGTTGATCTGAAATAGAGCAGAGTCAGTAGAGCTAAGGGCTGGCCATGGCTTCTCCCCAAAGGCTTCTTGCTCTCCCTTCGGGGGCCATTGGCATCTCTCAGGGACCTAGTGCTCAGGATTTGGTGCTTCAGTGAGATGACCACCACACCCAAAGTAGGATGGAGGGATACTGACTATCCTATTTTATGAGAGGAGGATGAAAAAGACTCAGCTTCCTGATCTTAGACAGGTGGTTTAAATTTGGGCACGAGGGCAGTGGAGTGCAGAAAATAGACTGGGTTTCAGACTACTATTGACTCCCCAAGCAGAGACAAACACCCTGGCTCCTGTTCTACTCCCAGGCCTGCCTGATGCCTGTCCCATGTAGACTCAGCACCCACATCACCAGAAGGCTTCCTCAAGGTTCCTAGTCTGCTCAGTGTGCCATTTTGTGCCACTCCTGAGACAGCTGACCCGATTATCCCAAACAAATTATATTCCTAGTAAGTTCTTACCAGTAGGACCAGAATCATGGGGCCCTGGTAGATGTAGTCGGTGTATACTCCAGCCCTCTTTCCAAACCAACACCTGGAAGACCATAAGTCTTGGTTAGGAGGAGATACAACGTGTCGAGGACCTCAGCCTCTGACCTACATGAGACTTAGGAGTCTAGGGAGGAGGAAAAGGGGAGGAGACAATTTGCACAGCTGACCTTGTCCCAGCTCTGCCAAAGGGACAAGCTTCTCAACCTCAACTGAAAATCTTCAACTAAAGCCTCAGTTATCTCATCTGTAAGATGACTACCAACCTTCCAGATTGCAGGGAAGTTTTAACCTTTTTTTGTGTCACAGACCCCTATGGTAGTCTCTAGGGACTCCTTAGAATAATATTTTTAAATAATCAAAGAAAATGCCAAATTTCAGTTGGAGGTTAGTGAAAATAAACATGTATCTTTTTCCCATTCAAGTTCACAGATCCCCTGAAATCTATTCATGGACCCCAGGTTAGGAACTCCTATTCCACTGAGAAAATCAGAGCTGCCTCGTATCATTTATTCATTCTAGTGTAATCTAGATGTGGGAAAGAAGCAAGCATTCAGGGTAGATTTTGATGCTATTCCAATTAACTGGGGTAGGATTAGCCCTTAGTCCTGAGGCCGAGGAGGCTCAGGCAGAGGGGAGGGGGAGGGGAAGGAGGCAGTGTTACTGGGTAGGTATTCCTCAGACATCCAAACTCAAGTTGTTCTGCCTCCACCCCCCCCCCCTCCAGCCAAGCCAGGCTCCTTGCCTTTCCAGCTGGGATATAATGGAGCTTGCTCTCCCAGGAAATGTGCGAGATGTAGAAATCAACCGGCTGCCTCTGAGTCAGGCAGGAGTCACCCTGATAAATATGGAACATATTCAGATCCCTTGTCTTTCCCAATGCAGTCGAGGTGTCTCCATCTCCCAGGCAGGCAGCCTCTTTGGGGAGAGTGAAGAAGGAAAGGAATGGGGGGAGGGGCTGACGGCTGAGATAACAGGAAGCGTGGGCCATATTTGCCAGTCCAGAGCTGGGGGAAGCCTATGCTTGTGGGTACACGTATCCCTACAGGGTTGTGAGATACACACACACACACACACACACACACACCCGTGCTTACACAGAGATATTGCACACACACACCAGCCTTTTACTCTAACAATAAAACTAGGTCCACTTCAAAATAGATTTTGCTATTTAGTCTGCTGTATATACTGAAAGCATAAGAAAGTAAAAGTGACTCATATAGTCTTGACCTGTGCACTCATGCAAGCTTAGACATATCCATGCGCACATGCCTACCCACACAGTGCCTGTGTGCACATAGACACACAGAAATAAGCCACACAAACAACACGCATACACATAAAATGATAGGCACATATCACGCACACTCCTAAGAAAGAGAGGAAGGTAGAGGTCCTGGAACTGAGGGGGCTGTTGAAAGTAATAAGATCTGAATTTACAGAACACGTTATACATATCATCTCATTTCATCTTCACAACACCCCTGTGTGGTAGTTTGGGCAAGCATTATTAACCCCATTTCACAGTTGAGGAAATCAAGGCTCAGATAGGTTCAGTGACTTGCTTGTGGTCACACAACTAATAAGTGCTAGAGGCAGGATCTGAACCCAAGTCTTACTCAACTCTAAGGGCAGTACAACCAATGCTGCCTCTGTAGAGGACTATGTTGCATTAACAATTTAAGCAAACGACTAACTGGGTAATCAGCTGCTATTTCTGGACCTCTGTATCCTAACTTATGATGTGAAATTGCTAACATGGGGCCAACATGGAATAGCGGGAAGAAGACATGAAGTTAGGAGATTGCCTTGCTCTAACATGTGGCTTTGGGAGTCACAACGTCTGTAAGCAATAGAATCCTCAAACGGAGATGATAATACTTCCAGGACCCCTTCACAGGTTTGTTGTGAAGAGTGTGTCTTGTAAACCCTAAAGCGTGTGATAAATGTGAATGATTATTAAGTTGGATTTTTCAAAGGACAGGTGGGACATACAGCTTCATTCTCAGGATCACAGGTCCCCTCTGGAGATTGATCTTCTCCATATCTTAGACTCCATAGAAGGTCTTACATCCCATCCAGACAGCTCGGCATCTTTTATACAGGATAACTTGTCCAAAGAGGACCATGATGGTTTGCTAACTCATTCATTACAATCTAAATCTTTTAAACCTCTATTCTTTTTTTTTTAGTTTTCAACATTTACTTTTATAGAATTCTGAGTTTTAAATTTTCTCCCTCTCCTTCCCCTGCACCCTCCCCAAGATGGTGTGCAATCTGATATAGGCCGTGCATGTACAATCACATTAAACATATTTCCACATTAGCCATGTTGTAAAGAAGAATTAGAACCAAAGGGAAAAACCATGAGAAAGAAAAAAAGAAACAAAAAAAGGAAAAATGGTATGTTGCAATCTGCATTCAGACTCCATAGTTCTTTCTCTGGATATGGATAGCATTTTCCATCATGAGTCCTTTGGAATTGTCTTAGATCTTTGCATTGCTGAGAAGAGCTAAGTCTATCAAAGTTGTCAAACCTCTGTTCTTGACCCCAATTAGTGTCTGTGATCATTCCTTCTTCTTTTCTCTAGGGAGATGAAGCAGAGTAAGGTCTTTCTTGGAACAGAACCATGAAATGTGAGTACTGAAAGATACCTTAGAGGCCATTTAGTCTAACCTCCTCATTTTATGGAGGTGGAAACTGAATCCCAGTTAGGGGAAGTGATTTGTTCAGGGTCATGCAACCAGTGGGTGGGAGGATAGTGATTAGAATCTGTATCTCTTTATGCCTAGCTCAGTGGTCTTCTCATTCACCACTGCTGCCTTAGAAGAGCTTTGCTACATTCTGAAATAGCCTCTTCCTGAGCTCATAAAGGTGATTGGGCCCATTCTTTAGACGGGAATTCTGAACCTTGGAGTAGAGGAACTGAAAGTGAGGCTGACAACTTTGCGCAGCTCTGCCTCACGTATCCGGTTCACTAGCAAGTTAAAATATCATCGTCATGGTCCTCTGAGAACAAGAGAGCAAGGAAACAGTCTTGTGATGGCAGGGTTTAGGTGGACAGTCGGGTTTAAGGGGTTGGCAGGTGGAGCTGTGTGAGTTGGGAGCACTGGAAAAAGGCATCTGTATGCATTCATAGGAGCACATCTTTCCCAGGCTCAGAGCAGAGCCCTGAGAACCCAGAGATTCTGATTCTCAGTACTGAGAGTCAGCCCCATGTCAGTCAGCACACATCACCTGTGTTCTGTTAATCTGGAACAAAGTGAAATGATTTCTGACTCAGGATAATAGGTAATAGATCTATGGCTGGAAAGTCACACAGTCTAACCCCCTCATTTTACATAGGGGAAACTAAGGCACAGAAAGGTTAAGTGATTTACCCAAGGCCATATAAGGCCCTTCCCTCAAATCCACTTGGTTGCCAACTACTGTTAATTTTTATCATCCTAATATCTCTTAAATCTCACCCCCGCCTCTTTACTCCCATTAAAATATTTCTAATTCAGACTCATCTCACCTTGCCTGGATTATTATAACAGTCTCCTAACTGAGTCTTCTTGCCTCTTATCTCTCCCTTTTCCAGTCACAGAGCAATAGAAGGGACCTCAAAGATTGTTAATTTAATCCAACCTTCAATAGAAAGGGGGAATCCTGTCTGTGAAAGGGGTCATCTGGCTGTTGCTTGGAGTACTTTAATAAGGGGAAATTCACCACATCCCGGGATAGCCCATTTACTTTGGGGAAGCTCTGATTGTCAGGAAGTTTTTTCTTACATCAAAGCCAAAACCTGCCCCTCTCCACCTTTCTCCCATCACTTCAAGAGATCACTATTGGGACCAATATATCTCATGCCTCTTCCTTATAACAACCCTTTAAATATCTGAGAACATCTAAACTGTCTCATACTAAATCTTCCTTCTTATACCCAGGCTAAACATCTCCAGTTACATCAACTAGCCTCTAAGTCAAGGTTCTTGGTTTTTTTTGCGTATGTCATGGACTCCTTTCGGCAGTCTGATGAATCCTATGCCTCTACTCAGAATAAGGTTTTTTAAGTGCCTAAAATCAGACACATAGAATTACATAGGAAAATAATTAGATTGAAACACAGATATAAAATATTTTTTAAAAAACAAGTTTACAGACCCTAGGTTAAGAGCCCACGCTCAAATGGCTTGCTTCTCTGTTCTCTTACCATCTGGCTTGTCCTCTTCCCATTGAATTTGTTCATCACTATCCTTCCTAAAAGGTGGTACCCTGAAACGAACTCAACATTCTAGACATGGTCTGACCAGAGCAGAATACAGTAGGACTGTTATCTTCCTTGTTTTGGACATCAAGCTTCTCAGCATGCCTGAAAACCTGATCCAACCCCTTTCCACTCACATACACATTTACAGGTGAGACAACTGAGACTTAGGAAAGGGAAGTGACTTGCCCAAGGTAACCTAGATGATTAGTGTGGGGGGGAACAGAATTCAGGTATTGTGACTTTAGGCTAGAGTTTCCCCTTGGTGTCACGCTTTAGTTCAGAAATCTCATCACTTTTTCTTTGACTAGACTCAAGTAAAATATACTTCCCCATCCCCACCCCCATATACTTTTGTGATTGGCGTGACTGGTGGGGGGAAGAAGAAGGGATCTCTGCTCATTGTACTTTGGTGCCTTCCTAAAGATGATACCTTTGTTCTAGACCATTAATGATAAATGGAGGAGAGAAGAGAGAAGAAAGCTAAAGATAGGGTACCTACTTACTTTTCATTGTCATAGTACAGTTTCCCAATGGCCCAGGCCACGATGATGGGGAAAGGCACACCTATAGAGGAGACAGGGTCAGTACCAAAGTAGGATCCAGCCCTTCTGTCTTACAGTTACCCATTTTAGGACATTCAGTTAGGAATCACCCATCTTGATTCTAAGAATCTTAAAATCATTAGTTGTGGGTCTTGGGATTTGATGAAATCCATGCAATCCAGCCCTTTGTCTGTAAACAGGACAAGGGGATCCAGGCATATCATGGTTCTTGCTCAGCACACACTAGGTCTTAAATTAGTTTGATGAATTTGTTTGGATGCCAGGAATATGGTAGGGTGTCCAGGGATTGAAGTGACTGCTTGCTCTCAACTCCATCAAATAGGTTAAGTGCCCCACTGTATCCTACATCCCTCTGAAGTGTCCCATCTAGGTTAACACTCTTCTTTCCCAGTTACTGTCCTTCAGGGTTCTCCAAATGGGCCTTATTTCTAGCTGGAGAAGAGGAATGGGAAGCCTTGGTACAGAGAGAGCCACATGAAGATGAGAGGAATCATCTCAACGGAGAAACTCCAGAGGGCAGCGTCAGCTATCCTCTCCCCATTCTCCTTCTCCACCCACCTCATCCATGGGTATGAGTGTGTATGGGTGTGTGTGGTGGTGGGAAGGGAGGATGGGAGCTAGTGGGCACTGTGCCCAGGGGCCAGTGAGACGCGATTCTCGGCTACCACACTCACACCAGCCAATACAGATGAACATCCACTTTCGGAGCTTGTCAGTAGAGTAGGTGAGCACGATGGCTGTGTGTAGGTAGCAACCTTCTCCAAACATCCAGAAGAAGTTGGTAACATGAAAATAATTGTAAGCAGCTGTCACCAGCCGGCACCAGGCCTACACAACAGAGAAGACATAGGGGATAAGGCAACCAGAGATTAGAGGCAAGAGAGTTAGAAGCAGCTTTTATCATTGTCCTTCCCCAGTCCTTCATTCTACCTCTGTGTCTACTAGCCTTAGCTTCCTAAATAGGATTATTGGTGGAGGAAAGTTGGTGATAGCAGGGACATAAGGAACTGGGCCTTTGTCCTGCTCCATCCCCACCATTGATTCCTCCACACCAGAGCCAGCAGGTCCCTCAGAAAGAAGGGCAAAAAACAGCCTTGGCTCCCAGGGGGCATTTAGAGGGAGGGGGAATGGGACATTCTTCATCCCCAGGGATAAGGGAGTCAATAACAAAACCTCTGCTCTTCCATTGAGTGAGACTTGGGGAATACTCATCAGCTCCCCAAAATCTCTCTTCTGGGTTCAGTCCACCCAAATGGCCTCAGCTGCAGGGAGGAATAGGGAAATGAGGAAGGAGGAAGACTCTGGGTCTGATCCAATTTTGGACAGCCAAGGCTTGGACCCAATTTGTGACCACTTGTCAGGGCTGCTGCTTAAGGGATTCTTGCACTAGGAGAAAGATTAAGTTTCTATGGCTCTCTGCAAAAGAAAAGACATCTGTTTTTGTGGGTCAAATGTCTGCCCCACTTTATTCCCCCTGGAGGGCATCTATCTTTGTCCCCTGCTTCTAGTCCTTTCCCTCTAGTCCGCTTCTCCCACCTCATAGCAGGCCCCAGCTCCCAGGCCTGGACTGTGTCCTGGCCAGAATATACATACCACATTACTCTGATGCACTTCAGGGCTCATGGTGAGCTGCACCACAAACCAGGTAGCATTGCGTAGGATGAAGGCAGAGATGAGGTTCCAGTGAATGATGTTTCGAAGACACCGGATACTCCTTTGTTTGGGTAGAGAGGGGGAAGGGGAGATAGAAAGCAAGATAAGAAGGTAGAAGAGGGCAAAAAGTATACCAGTCAGTCAGAGAAGGCAGTGAACCCCTCTCTGACCTGACCAATCCTAGTCCTGGCCCAGCTCAGCCCTTCAACCCTCCCCATCGTAGGGCAGGCATTGCTGTTCTTTTTTGGTCTTCATATCCCCAGCACAGAGCCTTGTACACAGTAGGCACTAAATAAATACTTGTTGGAGACTAGATAGAGCAGGGAGATGCTTGTTCCCTCTCCTTTTTCCTCCAGCCACCTCATCCCCTTCACCAAATCTATCTCCTGTTGCCCTAGATCCCTGTGCCCAGGGGGATCTTCCTGGTGATAGGGATGGGTGGGGCAAAGTTGTGGGCACTTGTTTCAGATGACCATCACCTAAGAGAAGTGGCAGAACTGGGATATCAGCTGATAGGGGTTAGCTAGATAATAAACAGCTTGAGGGCAGAGATCACATCTCATAATTCTCTTGTTCTTCCAACACTACCCAAGCACAACATTGAGTACTCAACATGTGCTGAATTAAAATTTTTGAATAAAAAAAAAATTTAAGTACCTTGGAAGCAGTTGACTGAGAAAAACCAAATATCACTGATAAGGGTTTGGTATTCAAAATAGACAGACAACTAACAGAAATTTTGTTGTCGTTCAGTTGTATTCAACTCTCTGTGACCCCATTTGGGGTTTTCTTGGCAAAGGTACTGGAGTGGTTTGTCATTTTTCTTTTCTAGCTCATTTTACAGATAAAGAAACTGAGGCAAACACTTGCCCAGGGTCACACAGCTAGTAAGTGTTTGAGGCTAGATTTGAACTCAGGGAGATGAGTCTTCCTGACTCCAGGTCCGGTGCTCTATCCACTGGGCCACCATTTAGTTTAGGGGTTCTTAATTTTTTTTTTGTATCATGGACTCCTTTGATAGGCTGGTGAATCCAATGGACCCCTTTTCAGAAAAATGTTTTTAAGTGCATCAAATAAAATACATAGAATTACAAAGAAAGCAAACTATATTGAAATAAAGATGTAATATATTTTCCCATTCAAGTTCTTGGGCCCCTAATTAAGAATGCCTGATCTAGTCCAATACCTTTATTTTACAGATATGAAAACTGAGGCCCAGAGATGGGGAATAATTTGCCTAATATCACATAGGTAATGTGATATTAGGCAATTATGTATTATCAATATGTGTAGGCAATTATGTAATATCACAATAATAATGTAATATTCGACAATGAACCCTGTCCTTTCAGGTACACTGGGGTAAGATTAGAACAAATCATTTCCCCTCTCTGGATCTTAGTTTCTTTCTCCCAAACGGTGGTGTCAAACTCAAATAGAAACCTGGGCCACTAATCTATACATACAGATTCCCGTGGGCTGTATATTGACTTAGTTGTGCGATATCTACATTTTATTGAATTTTTACTTATTTTGTTAACCATTTCCCAATTACACTTTAATCTGGTTTGGGTTGCACTCAGGAGTGTTGGGCATCATAAGTTTGACACCTCTGCTTTAAAAAGGAAGGACCAGAATTATAAACTCTTCCATTTCTGGAGTATTAGGAGTCTGTGAACTGGAGAACAGCCAATATTCATTCTGAAGAAGTGTGAGTTGGGACTGGGGAGGAAGCAGTTCTATGGGGAGGGACCCATTAGGGCTATGAATGACCAGAAGGTGGAAAACCTACTGGGACAGGATAAAGAACCCTAAAGACAAGTCTCTTTGATCATTGCCCATTCCCAGCTCCCAATTTAGCCACGGTAGCTGTTGTCCTTAGCTTCTCAAATAAGATGTCAATGTAGAGAAGTTGGCAGTGCCAGACATGTGGGAACCCGGCTTTCCTAACCCCCACCCCCATTGACTCATCTGCACCAGAGCTGGCTGGTTCCTTGGGATTAAGGGCAAACAATAGTTATTGGTTCCTAGGGTCATCTGGAGGCAGGAGGCCCTGCTCCCCCTCACCAGAAGCATCTGCCTTAGCTCTGAGTGACAGTTCTCACATCCTTCTTCATACCATTCCATAGCAATGTGGTACTTACTGGGGCTTGGCACAGAAATGTCTGGCACTGAGGCCTCCATCTCTGCCAACAGGCACTGCTGCTGCCACACACACGTCTGAGGGGTGCTGTTGCCAACCTGCTGAAGGCCCTGCCAGCAGTCGGCTCCTAGCTAGGGGGTTCTCATTCTGACCCACCAACTTGGCCCTGGTTGTATAGATAGGGGGGCAGAGCAGATGGAGGGCTCTCTGGGGTGGGTGAGAGTGAAGCAGAGCCATCTCATCCCTTGGGAGTAGTGAATTAGAGCCTGGTGTGTTACTGCCCCTATATCACTTCTCACACTCCATAATGGCGGCTGAACAGTTAAAAAGAGAAACAAAGAGTTGGTAAAGAGAAGAGATTTAGCAGAGTGAGGCAGTTAGGTGGCAAAATAGATAGAATACAAGATTTAAGAGTCAGGAAGTCCTGAGTTCAAATCCTCCTTTAGATACTTACTAGCTATGTGACCATGGGCAAAAACTCTTAGCCTTCATTTCCCCATTTGTCAAATAGGGATAATAATCACTCTTACCTTACGGGTTGTTGTGAGGATCAAATAAGATAATATGTAAAACACTTGGTAAACATTAAATCACCATATGTATTAGTTATTATTATTGTTGCTGTCATTAATAATAGTTAGCATTTACAAAGCATCTATTATTATCAGCTATATAGCATCTATCATTATTATTATTATCAGAGAAAAATCTAAAGTTAAAATACATTTAATCAACCTATTTCTCCCCACCCTCATCCACTTCGCTAAAGTGAAGGAGATTGATTCACATCCCACCCACCCCTCACTTCATTTAGGACACTTTTGAGGGATTTGCTTCTCCTTTAAGATTTGATACACTTTCTAACCTAATTGTACCTAGATATATTGATGGGAGCAGAGTGGGAGGAATAGAATGTTAGTCAATTCTAGCCCTAATTGGGGAGTACCAGGAAGCACTAAATTTAAAGTCATGAAGACATGAGTTCAAATCCTTCCTCTGACACTTCCTACCCTTGTGACTTTGGGCATGTCATTTAAGGTCTCTGTGCTGAAATCTCACTGGTAAAAGGAAGGTGTTGGCTTGGATGGTCTCCAAAGTCCCTGATAACTCCCATTGATGGTTTGAGGATCTTCTTACCTTAGGTGCATGAAGAGGACAAAGGCCATGAGGAGGGCTCCAAGAGAGATACAGTGACCCAGGTAGTTGATGATGACAGCAATATGGTAGTGCAATTTACTTTTTCTCTATACAAAGGAAAAGAGAGGAAATGAGGAAAAAATGGAAAAGAGGAAAGTGTCGCCAGGCACTTAGCATTTAATCTACCTAGTGATGGAAAATGTTACCCACCTCCAGAGAAAGAATCAATGGATTCTGAATGCTGATTAAAGCATACTATTTTCACTTTCTTTATTTTTTCATGGTTTTTTCCTTTCAGTCTGTTTTTTCTTTCACAACATGACTAATATGGAAATTGGTTTTACATGATTGCACATATATAACCTATATCAAATTGCTTATCATCTTAGGGAGGAGGAAGGGAAGGAAGGATGGAAGGAGAAAATTTGGAACTCAAAAAAATTTTTAAAAGAATGTTAAAAGTTGTCTTTAGGGACATCTAGGTGGCACGGTGGTTAGAGAGCTGCCTCTTGAGTCAGGAGGACTTGAATTCAAATCCAGCTTCAGACACCTATTAGCTGTGTGATCATGGGCAAGTCACTTAACCCTGTTTGCCTCAGTTTCCTCATCTATAAAATGAACTGGAGAAGGAAATGGCAAACCACTCCAGTATTTTTGCCAAGAAAACCCCAAAAGGGGTCAGGAAGAGTTGGATATGACTAAAAAATGACTGAACAACAATGACTTTATGACTCCCCAACTTTGAGCAGCCACCTTGCAGACATATGTGGGCCTAGCTCTGGCCAGTCAGCTTATGATATAGGCAAGAGGCAAACAAAGAGACAGGGAACAGATGATGTTTCAGTATTTCCAATCGTCACTACTGAGAAAACAATTCAGCTGAATCTCTGGTAGCAGGCGCTAACCCCTAATCCAGGAAGCCCTACTTGCTCTTCAGGCCTAGGATTCCAGGAAACATCACCGGGATGGTTTCTGAAGGAGATTGCAGAGTAAACTACAAGATCACAGAGAATTAGCAACGTGGGCAACTGACTAGATTGGGACCGAGTCGGGGGTGTGAATGGTGGTAGGAGGAAGAATGGGGAGATATAATTGCTTAATGTCAATGGAAACCTTCTCGGCCCACAAAGCAATAGAGGCTGAGCCCAGGAGCATCCGGAAGATACATATCACAGTCTGTCTGGACCTGATTTGTAATTTCGCTTTATTAAATTTTCCAGAAGTCCACATCAAAAATGCACCGGATAATAGCCTCTGTGGTGCCATAGGCCACACATGGCCCAGCTTTGTCCATTGGGGCCCTATCCTGGCAGATAAACATTGCTGCACACAAAATGCTCACCTTCCTGATGCCCCCTCCCTTCACTCCACTCTGTCCTGACCCTGTCATTTTACATCCTTCCTTCAGTCCCCACAGTTATTCCCAAAGGGCTGTGGGTCAGCGTTGGGGTGGAGAGAGTAGGCTGGGGGTAGGGTGATACCCAGACAAACAGCAGAAAATCTGCTCTAGTGGAAAGGCAGTGGAGTAGAGAGAGCAAATGGGTTTGGAACTAGAGGAGCTGGGTTTGAATCCTGGCTTTGCTAGTTCTCAATTAGGCCCTCAATGAACAAACATTTAGTGAATGACTACTCTATGCTAAGAATGCTGCTGAGGGATGGTGATAGAGAGACAAAAATGAAGTAGTCCTTGTTCTCAAGGACCTTATATGCTGTGAGGGAGACAAAATGCACTCAAATAAATATAACAGAATAAACACAAAATAAGCATAAGGTTGTTAGATGAGGCAGGTACTAGAAGTTGGAGGATATCAAGAAGGGAGGAAATAAGCACTTATTAAGTGCCTATTATGCTTGGACACTGTGCTAAGCATTTTACAGATATTATCTCATTTGAGCCTTACAACCATCCTGGGAGATAGGTGTTATTATTATTCCCATTTTACAGTTGAGGAAACTGAGGCAGATGGTGGTTAAGTGACTTGCCCAGAGTTACCCTGCTGGTGAGTATCTGAGGCTGGATTTGAACTGGATTTGGTCTTCCTGATTCCAGGCCCAGCCACATGTCCATGGTGACATCTGGCTGCCTCTAGGAAGGGTTTCATGTAAAAGGTGGTATTTGAGTCTGGAAAGAAATAAGGGATTCTAAGAAGTGGAAACGAGGAGGGATTGCATTTTAGGTATGGGGATGGCCAGTGCGAAGAGAGGAGAAGCTATGTGTAAGGAACAGCAAAAAGGTCCATTTGGCTGGACCGTAGAGGAGTAAGGTATAATGAGATTGAAGTGGTAGGTTGGGGCCAGGTTGTGAAGGGCTTAGGGTTATATTTTATCCTTGAGGCAAAGGGGATGCCTTAAACTAGGGCTTGGGGCAGCTAAGTAGCCCCATAGTGCATAGAGTGCTAGACCTGGAGTCAGGAAGGCTCCTCTTCCTGAGATCAAATCCCACCTCAGACACTCATTAATTGTGTGACCCTGAGCAAGTCACTTAACCCTATCTGCCTCAGTTTCCTTATCTGTAAAATGGACTGGAGAAGGAAATGGCAAACCATTCCAGTATCTTCGCTAAGAATGGAGTCATGGAGACATGACTGAACAACAACAAAATCCAACCCTTTCACTTTACAGGTGAGGAAACTGAAAACTAGAGATTATAGAACTTGCCTGGGTTGCTTAGGTTGACAACTTGAAGGCTTTCTACAGGGCTCTCATGGCTTCTCTATCTACATTCTGTCAATGGCCTCATCAGTCCTAATATGTTTAAATGTCTTCTTTATGCAGATGACTCCCAAATCTACATAAATTTAACTCCTGTCTCTTTCAAGAGATCCAGTCACACATCACCAACCACATATTGGACAATTCAAACTGAACATCCTTTTTTTGCTGTTATAGAGTCATTTCAGTCATGCCTGAATCTTTGTGACCCTCTTTGGGATTTTCTTGGTAGAGATACTAGAGTTGTTTGCCATTTCCTTCTCCAGCTCATTTTACAGATGAAGAAACTGAGGCAAAACCAGGTTAAGGGACTTGCCCAAGGTCATACAGCTAATGAGTGTCTGAGGTGGGATTTGAACTCAGGAAGATGAGTCTCCCAGACTCCAGGTCCAATACTCTATTAACTTATTTATTTTGATTTATCAATAATCACTTCCATAAGCTTTTGAGTTTTAAATTTTTCTCCCCCTCCCCAAGATGGTGTGCAATCTGATATAGGCTATACATATACATTCCTATTAAACATAGGTCCAATACTCTAACCACTGCACCCCCTACCTGCCCCAGGGGTTGGGCTAGATGATTTCTAAGGTGCATTCTACCTCTAAATCCTAGAGTTCTTCTTCCCTCAGTCTTGGGGCCTTCGTGGTTCTACTAAGGTGGGAAATCTTGGCTTTTTCCTCTCCCCCTCAACCATCTGAGTGACTGATAGGCTTTTTTCCCCAAAGAACCAGAAAGGGAGAATAAAACTCAACAATATTAGTGATAGAGGTTAGGGGTGAAGAGAAAGAGGTTTCTTCGGTGTCAGCTCTGGGGTTTAGAAGCAGTGAGCCTGATCCAATATCCCCCGCTTAACATATTATATTAGGCTTGAGGTCTCTGAGCTCAGTCTGAGGAGTGGAGACAGCTGGCGAGACAGCCTGAGAGACAGGAACAGAGACAGCTGGAGAGTCATAGCTAGTGAAAGAGGGAATGAGGAGCCATCCCAAGACAACCAGAGAGAGAGCCTGAGATACAGACAGAGAAATGAAGCTTGTTAGAGAGACAGCCAAAGACACAACCACGGAGACACTTGGATAAACTATTTGAGAGATGGGGGAGCCAGTCCAAGACAGCTGGAGAGACAGCTTGAGCTATAGCCGGAGAAATGTAGTCAGAGACAAGTAGAGATAGTGTAAGCTACAACAAGAGAGACAGAGATACAGTTGAAGAGATAATCTGAGAGATGGCCAGGGAAGAGTAATGAGACAGTGAGAGACAAGTAGACATAACCAGAAAAATGAGAAAGATTGTTGGAGACAGAGGGGTCCAAAGAGTGGTTGTTGTCTTTGTCTTGGGTGTGTCCCAGACAGGCAAATTGCTGCTGCTGAGATGAGAGGAGCCATAACCCAGCTGTGGGCCTCCTCTTAGAAGGGTGGTATTGGGGGTCAGGGCCCCTTAACTGTATCAGCAACAACCAGAATTCAATAAGCAATTAGAACTTGTCCAATTCAGAGACAAGCTGCCAGACTTGCTGGGTGACACAAACCTTGTCTTCAAGGGTGTGGGAGACCACCTGAGCAGCAGAATTAATAGTTTACCTACATCCTCCTGTTCTGTTCAGTATTCATAAGACCATATTTTCCTACATCAGGCAGAATAGTCCTGTATCCTTGATGTCTGTCCTGTCTGTCCTGGGATACCTTAAGCATACCTCACTGACACATTTGAACCCTCTTAGCCCTGATCTCTTTCTTCTCTTCCTTCCTTTTCTCCCTGTCCTCCTCTCACTCTTCTCCCCCAACTCCTGTCCCTCCACCCTCAGTCTGTTTCATGAATTTTTCATTCCCCTACCCATCTTTCCAGGGCCGTTTATACCCTCAACTCTACCAGTGAACAGGTAAGTACTGGGACATGAGCAAAGATTTCCCCCTTTGAGTGTCTCCACAAGTGTGAGAGTGTGTGTGTGTGTGTGTGTGTGTGTGTGTGTGTGTATTTATGTGGTGGGGCAGGACTGAGGGCCTGGAAAAGTGTCATTAGAGGGAATTGCTACAAGGAAGGAGACTGCTACTATGGATGGGGATGAGGTGGGGGAGATAGGGGTTGATGCAAGAGAAGGAGGAGGAGTTGATGTACAATGAGTGGAGGACAGTTGCTGTCCAGAGAGGAGATGTACTGAATCAGAGAGTCTGGTACCTTGGTGGTGAGCGGGGCTAGATGTCTTCTAGCCTGCAGTCAATGTCTCCTGGTCTCCCTGTGTCTTCACAAGTCCCATTTCACATGAACTTTTCTGTGAATCTATTATCCAAAATGCCCCAGGGGCACTGACACTTAATTAGGGCTTAGCCAAGGTGATCTAGAAGCTGGAGAAACCTATCAGCTCAATTAATTGGCTACTTTTCCTCTCAGCTCCTGGAGAGAGCTAGGGGTAAAGATCTCCACTGGTAGGAGTGAGGGGCTAAAATAGAGGGAATTAGTGTAAGGGGATGGTCCTTCTACTAATTAAATTGATTGATTATATTGAATGTTAAGCAACTGTGCAGGTTGGTAGCGGCTGGCAGAGCAGATGCGGATGGCAGCACTTTCACTGTTTATGATGGTAGGGGTGAAAGAAGGGCTGATTGACAGGCCAGCAGGGACTGATTCTGTTTTGATCTCTGAATTTTAAAGAGAATATGGAGGAATTGGAGAGGGTACAAAGAGAGGAGATCTAAAGGTTTAAAGGGATGAAGGCTAGTTCCTTGGGCAGGAGTCCCCAACAATTTGAGAATGAATGATTGGTCAGTCTTCCAAATCAACTCACAAAATCACTGAATTTTAGAACAGGAAGATAATCTAGTCTAACCCTCTCATTTCACATAGGACAGTGAAGCTCAAAGAAAGGAAACCAGCCAACAAGCATTTATGAAGGGCCCATAATGAGCCTAGGCACTGTGCTAAGTGCTGGGGATACAAAGAATGGCAAAAAATAAAAAAGAGAGCCTGATCTCAGGGAGGTAATAGGAGAGACAATGTGCAAAAATTGTACATACAAGATAGGTAGATGACCTGCCCATGGTCACATAGTAAGTGAGCAGCAGAGCCAGGAAAAGATGTTGGGGTTTTCTGGCTACATGATATTATCTCTCTTCTGTATAAACTATTGCACTTGCCCCTCCTCTTGTCTGCCAGCACCCCCCCCCCTTCTCCCTAAGTCCTGGCTTATGGGCACCTACAACACAGAGAGGAGTGTGGTTAGAAGCCACCAATATATCACTGTCTTGTCAGGTTATTGTGTTAATGAGCTTGGGGAGAAAAAAAGGGGGGTGCAAAAGATTGTAGGTCTCTTTAATTTGAAGTAGCTTTGGTGTTGTGGATTGTAAGTTCCTCAGGAGCAAAGATGAAAAAAAATTTTTTGTGTCTGCATTGCCAGTACCTAGGTCACAGTGTGCTTATTGATTGATTGATGGGAAGAGCCCTGAGCTGGGAGTCAGGGAAACAGGGGTTCTAGCCATGGCAAAACTCACAATCATTTTACTTCCTTGAATCTTGAGTACTCAGCTATAAAATGATGGGGTTGGACTAGAAACTAGTGTCAAAATCCAGCAATGCCACTGCTAGGTCTATATTCCAAAGACATCCAAAAAAATGGAAAAGGAGCTATTTGTACAAAAATATTTAAAGTAGCTCTTTTTGTGGTTGCTAAGAATTGGAAATCTAAGGGACGCCCATCAACTAGGGCATGGTAATGGAATATTATTTTGCTCTAAGAAATGGCAAGCAGGATGATTTCATAAAAACCTGGAAATACTTACATGAATTGATACATAGTGAAGTGAACAGACTTAGGAGAACATTGTACCTAGTAACAGCAATATTGTTCGATGAAGACCTGTGAATGACTTAGCTATTCTCAATACAACGATCCAAGACAATCCCAAAGGACTAATGATAAAGCATACTAATTGCCTCCAGAGAAAGAACTGATGTTGTTTGAATACAGACTGAAGCATGCTATTTTTCACTTTCTTTCATTTTTTTCTTTGAGTCTTCTTGTACAAAATGACTAATATGGAAATGTTTTACATAATTATACATGTATAACCTATATCTGATTGTTTATCATCTCAGGGAGGGGAGGGAGGCGGGTGGGATAGAATTTGGAACTCAAAACTTTAAATAAAAATATTTTTAAAATTAAAAAAAGAAACTGTTGTCAAAGAGAGATGTCAGACTCTGAGTTCATAGGTCACTTATGGCCCACAACATTCCTGCATGCAACCTGAACCAGATTAAAATGCAATTGGGAATGCAATATTTAACAAAATATTCTGTTAAATGCAATTAAATGCAATATTTAACAAAACGTAAAACTGATAATAGATGTACACAATATAGATAATAGTAATATGTAGTTTTCTAAGTCATTATGATGGATCCTTACATACGGCTTAGTGGGTGCTGTTTCTATTTAAGTTTGACCTTATTGGATTATATGATCTTTAAGATAGTCCTGTCTGGCTCATTGTTGTTCAGTTGTGTCTGACTCTTTTGCGACCCCATTTTGGGTTTTCTTGGCAAAGATACTGGAGTGGTTTTCCAGCTTATTTTACAGGTGAGGCAACTAAGGCAAACAGTGTTCAGTGAATTGCCCAGGATTGCACAGCTAGTGAGTATCTGAGGCCAGATTTGAACTCATGGAGATGAGTCTTCCTGATTGCCAACCCAGTGCTCTATCCACTGTACCACCTAGCTGCTGTCAGCTCAGACAAGCTAAGCTTTATGATTAGGTGAAAATTATATTTACTCATGGAAGAAGGGGCTAACCCTTGTGCTATACTGAAAGATCGTTTAGCCTGGAGAAAAGAAGGTTCAGGGGGCATCAGTTTCTGTTTTCAAGTCAGTGATGGGTGACTATGATGGTGATACTGAACAACTGGTTTCTATGTCAGGAAAAAAAAAACCAAACAGGATCAATGGAGTTGAAATTAGAACAGAAGAGATTTAGCTTGGATATAACCAAGAACTCCTGGATAGCCAAGGAAACAAAAACAGTAAAGGAGGCTGAAGGAGGGCACTTTGCCTTCAGAGATCTTTAAGAAAACTAAACACAGAGGTGACTGTCTGTCCTAAAGGCTAGGTCAGAGCACCTGCCTCTCTATAATTCCCCTCAATTCCTTTCCTGGATCTCTAGGACCATTGGGTGCCAAGAGCTGGGCCAAAGTTCCTACTTTCTGATTTTGAAATGTCCCATCCCACCCATGTCTAAGAGCCACTGTTTTGATGTCTTTCTCTCCTCAGGAGAGTCATAATTATTTTCCAAACCACAACTTGTATATTTTTTCTATTTCCACTTTCTAAGAAAAATTCCAACTACTGGCCTCATCCATCTCTCCTATTGATCCTCCCCTCTGGTCCAGTCCATCTTCTCTCTAGCTCCAGTCATCTTTCCCAGGAGTGAGTCTCTACCCTCACAATGCCATTCCTTTCCAACACTTGAGTCAAACAGAATCAGAGAATGTCAGAGCTACAAGAGACTTTAGAGACCATTTCATTCAATCCTCTCCTTTTATGAATGAAGAAATTTTGAGGCCCAGGGAAAAGAAATCACTTCTCTAAAGTTATATAATCAAGAAATGGGAGAAACAGGAATCAACCCAGATTTCCTGATTCTAAAAGTTCAATGTTTTTACTTCCTACGGGAGATTTCTCATTTGCATCTATACCATGAGATGAAAATCGCAAGATTTCTGTGGTCTATGCTGATGCTTTGGAACCTGGTGCACTTTTGACTCTGAATTCTGATTCTCTTGTAGTCTCATTCCAGTGAGGATAATGTTACCTATTTATTACAATATTTAAAAACGGTGCTAGGGCACAGGAGATAGCATTTTAGATTTGGAATGCACGAACCACAAACATTTACTAGCTGTGTGACCCTGGAACAAGTCACTTAGCATTGCTCAGCCTCTTTAGTGTCCTTATGTAAAAAATGGAGAGAGATAATAATATCACCGAAGTCATATTATGAAAATCAGATGAGATAATGATATGCCTAGCTTTTTACAAACTATGGTAGCTATAATTTAATAATATCATACATTTAAATATGTTTATAATATAATGTTTTAAATAAGTTTATAATATAGTTTAATTAAGTTCATAATATATTTAAATAAGTTTATAATATATTTTAATATCTGTATAATATATTTAAAATGAATTTATAATATAAAATCTAATATGATTTTTATAATTTTACAATATGATGTTCCCAAAAGTCATAGTGCAATTTTAAGCTTTAATAACCTAAAACTGCACTAAGACTTTTGGGACACTCTGTACATGGTAGCTACTATTTTTATGTCACTTGATTTTTCTGCACCTCAGTTTCCCCGTCTATAAAACTAAGATCATACAATCTATAGTACTTACCTCACAGGGCTGTTGGAAGGATTAAATTATAGTGTATCTGGGGATCATAGATTTTGGTCTGGAAGAAACATTTTAAGTTATCTTATCCAGCCCTTTCATTTTACAAAGAAGGAAAATGAGGCCCCCACAGAAGCTAAGCAACTTGCTCAGGGTCACACAGGTAATAAATAAAAGATCCAGGACTTAAACCCAGGTCCTCTGGTGCCAAGTCCCACTGCTCTTTCCACCGTTAATATCTTTTACTATTTGTTGTTGCTGTGGAGTCGTTTTTCAGTCATGTAGAATTCTTTGTTGATCCTGCTTGAGATTTTCTTGACAAAGATACTGGAGTTGTTTCCCCTTTCCTTCTCTAGCTCATTTACAGATGAAGAAACTGAGGCAAACAGGGTTAAGTGACTTGTCCAGGGTCACACAGCTAGTGTCTGAAGTAGGATTTGGACTCATGAAGAGGAGTCATTCTGACTTCAGGCCCAGCACTCTATCCACTGCACCACTTAGCTGCCCACCTTTGTGATCAACTCCCTCATTTTCCACACTCTCCAATCCCCTCTGAGTCACTTCCCTCCCTACCTTCCCTGTCCTTCAATCTTCCCCCACCCAGCTCCAGTCCAGGATGCATACTCTAGGGAATCAACTGATTGAGGCAAATTATACCTCCTCGTTAAGGATCTCTTGGCACTGAGAATAGTTGACTCGTACTGCCCAGCTTCCATTCGCAAGACACTCCCGGTAGCCATTGTCTGGAAAAGAGAAAAAGAGAGAGATGGTGGGATGATTCACAAGGTATGTTTGGAGAGAAGCTCATTCCTTATGTGGATGGATCAGGATCTTCAAGGTAAGGAGCCTGTCAAGATGAGGCACCATCTGCCTTGATGGGAGACTCTTTTGGGACCTTGCTTTGCTGAGGGCAGCTCCAACTTCAGGCCTGACAGGGATATGGTAGGGGTAGGACAGTTGCTGCCATGAATCTATCTGCCTGCCAGCTACCTACCAGACCAGTCACACAGGGGGCACTTGTGTAGGTCTGAGAGACTAAAGCTTTACTTCTCTGCAAGGCATGAGACACTGGGTTCACCTGAACCAGCTCCTCTGATGTGGTTCCTTCAAAGCCTTTCACATGGTGATAATATAGGGGGACAGAGACAGGAGCTGTATTACTATAGGGAAATTCCAAAGTAAGGAACCTCCCTCTAGACAATAATGTCAAGTCATTTCAGTCGTGTCTGACTCTCCATGACTCTATTTGAGGTTTTCCTGGCAAAGATAAAGGAGTGGTTTTCCACTTCCTTCTCCAGTTCATTTTACAGATGAAGAAACTGAGGCAAATAGGATTAAGTGACTTGCTGAGTGTCACACAGCCAGTAGGAAGATGAGTCTTCCTGATTCCAAGCCCAGTGCTCTAACCATTGTGCAACTTAGCTGCCCACCAAGAGCTCTTACTGCTCCCCAAAACCTGGAGGGTGGGGAAGCAGTAGTGAGCTCCCCCTTAGCACTATTGGTGCTGGGCTCCCTACCCTCCCACTACCCCTCTTTGCTTTGTGGAGTCGTTAGTTTGATTTCTCTTCTGTTGAGCCCTCCCCACTCCCACTTGCCTCCCTGATCCTCTCTCTAGCTGACACCAATCCATCTTCCTTTGCCTGAGATTCCCAGCCCCCATCCTGGAGCATAGGGGCCAGAGGGACCCCAGCAGGGAAGGAGAAGAAATCTGGAAGTCTTTTCTCCCCCTCCTCCTCCTGCTAGCGTTGCTCCAGTCCCTGCTGACACTTTTCTAGATGCATTAGCAGCATTAACAGCTTAAGAAAGGAGGCTTCAGTGAGCTTTTCTTTCGCAGGTCTGACTCGAGGTGGAGAAGAGTAGATGACAGATAAGCACAGCACTGTTCATCACCTTCTCTCCACTGCTTATGAATTTCCAATGTCCATCTCTGACCTGTCAGATCACACCTCCACCCCAGGAAGTCAAGGGAAAGAGGATGGGGTGGGAGAGATTAGGAGACGGAATCTTTCTGCAAACCCAGCATGGACCGCTGACCTGGGGATCAGGAAACCTGGCTTCCAATCTGGTCTCTGCTACTTCATAGCTGTGGGACCTTAAGACAAGTCTCTTGATCATTCATGGCCTCAGTTTCCTTATCAGTAAAATGGTGATTAATAATAACTTCACCTAGTTGACAAAATCGTTGTGTGGTTCAAATCAGAAGGGAAATTCAAAATTCTTTGAAGTCATCTGTGAGTCTGAGCTCTTATTAAACGGGCAGGCTGGTGTGGGGACAAGAGCACTATACCTGGAGCCAAAGTTGGGACACTGGATCAAACACTTGCTTGTTATGTAATCTCAGGCAAGTAATTTAGCCTTTCTAATCTTAGTTTTCTCATCTGTGAAATGGAGATGCCGGTAATTCTTGCTTTACAGAGTTGTACAAAGGTCAGAAGGATGGGAAAATAGTTTGGAATCTCAAAGCAGTGTCACCAGGGGTGGGGAACCTGTGGCCTCGAGACCACGTGTGGCCCTCTAGGTCCTCAAGTGAGGCCACAGGTTCCCCATCCCTGGAGGATGTCCCTAAAATCTTAGTGCAGTTTTAAGCTTTGAGGGTTCTTTAAGCTTTTCGGCTTTAAGAGCTCAAAACTGCTCTAAGCCTTTTGAGACAACCTGGACATAGAAGCTACTATTATTACTTCAAAGGCACGGGTTATAATGGATGAAGGGCCAGCCTTGGAATCACAGGAATCCTGGACTCAGGTCCTGCTTCTGACACACACTATCTGTGACTCCAGCCAGCTATAAGGATGAATGAACTGTCAATTTAGATCGGTGGAGGGAGCTCCACATAGGGAGTTCCCCACATTGATGAAATTGGAGGGTCTGGGGGAAAAGATTTAACCATAACTGGGCCTCAGTTTCCTTCTCTAAAATGAAGATTTAGAGAGTCCCTCCTAGCTTCAGAAAAGTCTTCTTTCCTCAGATCACAAAGCACCCTAGCAGAAACAAGGAAGGCTTGTTCCTGAGCTAGGCAGCCTGAGGCTGACTGGGTACTCTCTTCACCTGCCCTGAGGCATTCCGCAAGGCAGAGAAGCTAGTCCTTAGGAGATGAGAGGGGAGTGGGGTGAAGTGGTAAAGCTTCTTCTGCAACCAGAGTAGGCCAGGTAACCTGTCGCCTGGAGGTTAAGGGGACCAGACCCTATTCCCCAGGTACTGAAGAGCCACAGAGAGTGTATCAATAACCAGCTCTAAGTGGGGATTTCCTTCAGCTTCTCAGTCACAGTTCCACCCATCCACTCCCCTCCATCTCATCCTACTCTTTCTGCAAGGCCTGCTGTAACACCCTCCATAAGGAAGACAGGGGAAATGAATTTTTAATGTTATTTCCTAGTTCCATCAGCAACAGGCCAGGCTCTTGGGCACCACAGAGACTAGCAGCCTTGGCTCCTGTTCACTCCCCAAGGAGATTGGCCTCTAATTGTTAAACCAGGGGAAGTGACCCAGAGGAATAAGAGCGAAGGAACTGGGTTTTCTGAAAGGCCAGTGCAGTCGGGAGTCCAGCCTGGGAAATCTAATGTTTGTGCCCAGGGAGGGCCATCTTCTCTGCACTCTCCCCAACCCAGGGAAGCTGAGACCAGGGGCCAGAGTTCAACTGAGTGAATTCTTCCTAGTGTCTCTGCAGATAGGAACTATGGCTTTCAAGAAGGCTTACCAACCATCCCGAGCCCTGTGGTGTAGAGGGTGAAAAAAAACAGTGCAAATAAGCTTTGAATTCAAACCCAAGAAGAAAATGACCTCCTCCTTCTTAATCAATGGCCCCTACTGGGCTCAGGCTGTCTCCCTCTAGGAATCATGGGAAATGGATATTTTTGGAAATCCTTCCCAAAACTTAGAAGCTCTGACTGATGCCAAGGGGAAGAGGGAACACAGTAAGGATACCCAGAGATCCTCACTCAGCAATGAATTAATTATTGCTCATTAGTAGAGGTGACTCTGAGTTCCTGGATGTTGTTAATAGTGCTGGCACAATCATAATCACTTTAGCAATTATATTTTTAAGGGGGGGTTGGGAAATTAGAGGGTCATTTTCCAGCCTTCCCTTAAGGTTAACTCTATTTTAGTCTTCTCTACATCTCTGGAATGCCCTTCTGCCTCATTTATGAATCTTTAACATCCTTCCGGGCTCAGTTCAAAGTCTTTCTGCCTCTTATCAGGCAAGTAGTCTATGCTACCATTGGCTCTTCAATATTCTTTCAGGTGTATATTCTTATCATCATTAACTCACATTTCTTCAGTGGTTTTAAAGGCTTGCCTTAGGAAGCTTTTCATCACAAGAACCCAGTAAGGTAGGGAGAATTAAGTCTTATTAGGCTCTCCAGAACATGAGACTTAAAGCTGGAAGATCCATCTAGACCAACATTCTCATTTTCCAAAACAGGGTTATCACTAGAGCCAATATTAGAACCCAGGTCATTAGACTCAAAATCAAGTTCTCTAATTTACCATGTTGTTTCCCTACTCCATCCTTCCCTGCACAGTGCTTTATATAGAATAGATACTCAATAAATGCTAATAGACTGTCAGACCGTCCTCTCAGACATCTTTAGGATCATAGCTCTAGAACAAGGGTGGGGAACCTGTGGCCTCGAGGCCACATGTGGCCTTCTAGGTCCTAAGATGTGGCCTTTTGACTGAGAACAAATCCTCTCACGAAGGGCCACACCTCAGAGGTCATCTATTCCAACAATTTTGTTTTACAGATGAGGAAACTGAGACCCAAAGAACTCAGGTGACTTGCCCAAGGTCACACAAGTAATAAGAATCGTGGCTGGATTTAAACCTAGGTCCTTTGGACCCCAGAGTCAGGGTACCACACCTCCCCCCATTCCATGGTATTCCTTCTTTTCTTCTTTCCTCTCTTTAATTTCTCCACTTTCTTTAGTGGATTACTTGTTAGACTTAAGAATCAAGAGGCCCAAGGGGCAGCTAGATGACACAGCGGATAGAGCACCAAGCCCTAGAGTCAGGAAGACCTGAGTTCAGATCCGGCCTCAGACAATTAATAGCTGTGTGACCCTGGGCAAGTCATTTAACCTTTGTTTGCCTCAATTTCCTCATTTGTACCTGCCAGGGTTGTTGTAGGGATTAAATGAGATAATAATTGTAAATCACTTAACACAGTATTTAGCACATAGTAGGTATAATATAAATGTTAATTATGATGATGGTGTGACCTACACCACCCTATACTGACCACCAGTCCCAGCGATATTCACAGTTAAAATGGTCAATTATAGGTCACTGAAAAGTGATTTTTGAACCTTATTTGAAACTCCAGAATGGGTCACCCTGCCCATTTTATACCTAAAACATTGAAAAACTGGTGAGTATTTAGAGAAGAGTAATCAAGTGTAGATAGAGGAGAATAATCCAAATGGTAAAGGACTTTGAGTTCATGGCATATAAAGATTGTTTCCAGGAGATATTTGCTCCAGGAAAGTAGAGGCTTAGCAGGGGCATGATAACTGCCTTCAATTATTTGAAGAGCCGTCACATGGAACAGGGATTAGATTCATTCTGTTAGGCTCCCAAAGGTAAATTAGGAGAAATGGCTGGAAGTCAAATCGAGGCCAATTGAAGTTTGCCATAAGGAATAATCTCCTAATAATTTTGTTATCGCTGTTGTTCAGTCATTTTCCAACTCTGTCATATCCAACTCTTTGTGACTCTAGTTGGGGTTTTCTTAGTAGAGATACTGGAGTGGTTTGCCATTTCCTTTGACAGATGAGGAAATTGAGGTAAACAGAGTCAAATGACTTGACAGAGTCACACAGATAGTAAGTGTCTGAGGCTGGATTTGAACTCAGGAAGACGAGCCTTCCTCACTCTAGGCCCGGCCCTCTGTGCACTAGGGCGCCACCTAGCGACTCCAGGACTAACAATTAGAGAAATGAGTTCTTTTCCACTGAGGGTCTTCAGGCAGACACTAGGTGAACATTTCCCAGATATATTGGACAAGGTTTGGTTAGTTTGGTATACGTTGGGCTAAATGACCTTTGACCACTGTTCCAGCCGTGGCATTCCAGGATTTCATGACTTGCCCAGGGTCACGTGGCTAGTAAGTAGAACTGAGACATGAACTCAGGGTCTTAATTTGATGTGGGGCACAAAAGTCTCAAATTTCTCTCTAGCCTGGGGCTTCTTAACTTATTTTTTTTAAAAATATTTTCATAACTGTATTTCAAAATAATTGTTTTCCTTTATAATAGTAGGTATTTTATATTTTATACGTTATTCTAAGAAGGGGTCTATAGGCTTCACCAGACTGCCAAAAATGTCCATGACACAAAAGAGGTCCATACAATGAACCTAGACCCTACAATGGCTTATGGGAGAGCTGCACACTTTACTACCACCCCAACTAAAGGAGAGTCTGGGCTACCAGTCAGAAATCACCTGCTTGGGCTAAGGTCCCCCTCCCCTGGCAGAGAGGAAACCTGAACCCCAGAACTCTGTGCACCAGACCCCAGTTCTATCCTTAATGTGGCCCTTACTCTGCTACCCTGCAGCTACTGATCCGTAGTTAGACAGGGACTGTGCAACACTGAGAGATACAAGCAAATTAATTCGGAGAGAAACAGGTGGCAGAACAATACATCGGCAACTCCAACAAGGAGCTGTAAAGCCCTGAGGCATGGGGCCAGAGAAGAGAGGCAGGGGCCTCAAGCATCAGGTGTCAGAGAGGGCCCTGTGCCAATCCACCCCTCTCTCTTCACCAATAAGTGGAAAATAATAATAGCTGGCATTAAAAAGGGCTTGGGGATTTACAAAATGCCTTCCTCACAAGAACTGTCTAAGATAAGGTAGAGTGTTAGTATTATTATCCTCACTTGACAGTTAAGGAAACTAAATTCTGAGAAGTTAAATGAATTACCCATAATCAGAGGGTCATAGGTTTTAGAGACCTTGATGTCACCTAGTCCAACTCCTTCATTTTTACAGATGAGGAAACTGAGGTCAAGATAAGTTGAGTGGCTTGCCCAAGGTCACAGAGGTATTAAGCACCAGGGATTGAATTTAAACCCAGGTTATCTGACTCCAAAGCTGGTTCTCTTTCTATTATACCACAATGGCTCCCACTATCTGGGATTACTTCTTTCCTTTTCTCCTCCTTCCCTTAATTTCCTTATCCACTTTAGCGTATAGACTGTTGGACTTAAGAGGCAGGAGATCACAAGGTCACATGGAGTGTAAATTATAAAACCGGGATTTGAATTCAGGTCTTCTGGCTAGTACCTATCAGAGGCAGGACTCAAACTCAGGTCTTCTGACTAGAAATTCAGTTGGCTTTCCATTAGCTTTTTGGAGGCATCAGGGTTCCTGATGTGGCCCTGAGGACTCTAGGGTGTCTTTTTCAGCATAACACATTATCCGTCCCTCTACTTCTCACTGCCTCACGGGCAACAAGTTCCTTCATCTCCCTGTTACCTCATCTCCCAAAAGCAGAACCTTACTTGTTGTGTTATAGCGGACTCCATAGAAGTAGGCAGGACAGGGCCGTACCACAAGCTGGCCAGCTGCACTCCGAGGCCAACAGGTCCCAATGAGGTCAATGGAGGAATTGCACTGGAGCCCTGGGGGAAGAAGGGGAGAGAGAGAGAGAAAGAGGAGATGAGGTAGATCCTGGTCCTCCCCTCACCGTACCCTAGTCTTCTTATCTATCCAAAGAGGGTAGAACAACCAATAATACCTTTCACACTCTATTCTCATTCTGCCCTTTCTCTTCACCAACCAGGGGAGACCCTAAAGGAAAACATCAACGTGGGAAAGCACAAATCTTATTCAGAAGAGGAAAGGATAGTGATCTGGCTAGAGTAAGGAGGCTGTGTAGAACAGATTTAGGGGTTAAGAATGTGTATGTGTGTGTGTGTGTGTGTGTGTGAGAGAGAGAGAGAGAGAGAGAGAGAGAGAACCAGAGTACATTGTACACAGTAACAGCACCATTGTACAATGATCAACTATGAATGACTTAACTATTCTCGGCAACACAATGATCCAAGACCATTCCAAAGGACTCACGATTGATGAAAAATGCTATCTACCGCCAGAGAAAGAACTGATGGAGTCTGAATGCAGATCGAAGCATACTATTTTCACTTTATTTTTTCACGGTTTTTTTTCTTTTGGTCTGTTTCTTTTTTCATACATGACTAATATGGAAATATGTTTTATATGATTACACTTATATAACCTATATCAAATTGTTTACTGTCTTAGGGAGGGTGGAGGTGAAGGAGAGAGGAAGAAAATTTGGAACTTAAATTTTTTTTATAAGGAATGTTAAAATTTGTCTTCATATGCAACTGGAAAAATAAAATAGTATTCTGAAAAAAAAGAATGTGTTATTGGGGGAGGAGGCATTGTGCACTCAAGGGAGGACTTAAATGCCAGGTTACAGAGTATAAATTTGACATGAGTGGCCGTAGAGAACCATTTGTGCTCTTGAGCAGGGAGAGACAGAGAAACTGAAGTGGTAAATCTTTTTAGGTTAAAGGGAATAATTAAAAGTTGTTAAGATCTTCTGCTGTCATTTTAGAGGAAGGTTGAACATTTCCCCAGGCAGCAAGCTCTATAGCCTGAAGCAATCCCCGCCCCCCCACCACACACACACACACCTTGTAGCTGGTGACTGGAGCCCAGTAATATATTGGTGAAATTTGTGACAACTTCTAGCTTTATGCAAGTCTAGATCCCCTTGGCTTCTGGCCCAAATTTACATAACCACATCATGGGGAAAACAACTCTATCTCTGCCAGTGCATATCTACATAAAAATTACTAAATTTTCAGTCTGGCAAGAGCGTTTATCTAGTTCCTGGGGTGTCTTCACAGACCATTGTACTAAGCGCCATAGGAAATATGTCACCCAGAAGGTAATAATAGCTCACATTTCCTCAATGCTCAAAGACCTATAAAAGATGAGCAGTAGAGTGTATTTTGCCCATTTTACAAATGAGAATGGAAGCTGAGCACTAATTAAAGGCCAGTGGAGAGGCATATTATGGTCATGAATAGTCCACAAAACATTCCACACAAGAAACAATAAAGGAGAATCAGTGTAAAGGATGCCATTTGAGAAACATAGGATCAAAAGAAGATGATATTGTCTGGGATATGTTGAGAGGAAGCAACAGTCAGTGGGAAGCCAATATACTCCCTTAATATCCTTAAGATATCAAGAGGAGTTGAGGAAGGCCTCCAGGATATTGGGTAGACCTCTTGTGAACTTTATTGTTGGTGTTTAGTTATTTGCATTCAGTGTCTGACCCTTTGTGACCCCTTTTGAGGTTTTCTTGGTAAAGATACTGGAATGGTTTGCCATTTCCTTCTCCAGTTCATTTTCACAGATGAGGAAAATTGATGCAAAAAAAGTGACTTGCTCAGGGTTATATAGCTAGTAAGTGTCTAAAGTCAAATTTGAATTCAGGTCTTCCTGACTCCAGGCCACACTCTATCCATTGTGCCACCTAGCTGCCCTTGTGGGAAATCAAGGGTCAGAGTCACAAAGAATGCATCATGGTAGGGAATAATCACATCAGTGAGGTCACAGATGCATTGGAGAATGAGATGACAAGTAATGTGACTTGTTTAAGGTCACCCAGTTAGTGACTGGTGTAGCTGGGACTTTAATGTTGGTTTTTTGGAAAAGGAATAATCCTTTGACTTCAGAGAATTTCACTGTGGGTGGGGGAGTTGGGAATGGAGTTCCACTGAGAGGCTGGAGAGGAGCCAACAGCTTGATTCTCCATTCTGGCATTGACCCAGACACAGCTACACTATTGGAACCTGTCTAGTTATGACCCTACTTGCCTAAGATGCAAACACTACCCCGGTCAAGCACCACAGCTTATTTAGTAAAGGTCAGTTGTTAACACCCAGGAACTGGCATAGAGACAGATTAACGTGTGGAGGAGGAAGGAGTAAATGAGGGGAAGCAGCTACTTCAGTGTTAATGACCAGCCCTTGCTCTTGGGCTCTGTTCAAGGCTGTATCTCAATCATTTTTTCCTAAATTAGCCCTTCCCAACCAGGATCACTTGGGAAATAGCACTGGCTTATATTGGCTTCCTTTCTGGGCTGGGCTCAGGAAAGCTCTGAGCAACAGTTGTACCCCATTAATTTTTATTCTCTAATCAAAGCTATTCATAGGACACAGAAAAATCAGGGCTGGAGGGGGCCAGTCCTCTGAGTCAAGTGATTTCATTGGCAGAAAATTACAAGATCATTTAAGGAAGTCTAAGAGCCGAATTATTGGGATCAGCACATCAGGCTCTTGCGAAAGTGGGATTCCCAACCTTTCCAAGGACTGGACTGGGGAAGCCATCATCCTCAGCTGTCTCTTGCCCTTTAGAGACAGTATCTACTTTGGGTAGGGGCAGGCTACAGTGCCTTGCAAATAGTAGCACCAAGTCAACGATATTAATGATTAGGTGTAGTGGAAAGAGCACTGGAAATAGATTGAAAAAAGCTTCAGCTCAAATCTTGGCTCTGATGCTTACTGACTGTGGGACTAGTATAAATCATTCCACTTCTCTGAGACTCAGTTACCTCTTCTATGAAGTGAAGATAATAACGTGAACTACCTACCTCAAAGTTGTTATGAGGTTCAAATGAGCTAACACAGTAAATTGATAATGACAGGAATAGATATTGATAATGACAGGTAGAGATAGTTTCTTGGGATAGAGTGTAGATAGATACACAGACCAATAGATAGACAGGTAGAGAGGCAGAAGCCAGTCAGACAGAGGGATAAATTAGATAAATATGTAATACCAGTTTCAATAGCCTTTACAACAGAGACTATGGATATAGTTACTATATCTTTAAAAGGGAATATACTCCAAAGAGATCAAAAAAAGAAGAAAAGGACCCATATGTATAGAAATATTTATAGCAGTTCTTTTTATGATGGCAAAGAATTGGAAACTGAGGAGATGCCCATCGATTGGGGAATGGTTGAACAGGTTATAGTATATGAATCTAATGAAATACTATACTATTGTGTTATAAGAAATGATGAAGAGGATGGTTTCAGAAAAACCTGGGAAGACTTGTATGAACTGATGCAAAGTGAAATAAGCAGAACCAGTACAATTTATATGGTAACATCAATATTATAAAGATAATTAACTTTAAAAGACTTATTTTTCTGATCAACACAATCACCAGCCACAAATGACTAGTGAGGAAACATGCTATCCACCTTCACATAGAGAACTAATGGTCTCAGAGTGCAGACTGAAGCATATTTTCTTTTCTTTGTTTCTCTCTTCTTCTTCCTTCCTTCCTTCCTTCATTTCTTCCTTCCTTCTTTCCTTCATTTCTTCCTTCCTTCTTTCTCTTTCTTTGAGTATGGCTAATGTGGGCATTGTTTTGCATGACTATACATATTTGTACTAGGTTTTGGGGTTTTTGCCTTCTCAATAAGTGGGGAAGAGAGAGAATTTGGGACAAAAAATAAAATAAAACTGAACTTTTAAAAAGCTAGTGCCCACTATTCCACCCACAGAGTACAGACTCTGAATGTATTTGTGGGACAGTACACCTCTGGTTTTGGGGAACATACTTTGTAATTATTGTTATTGTGATACCATTTGAGTAAATGCCTTTGCTAAAGAAAAAAGGGTTGTAATTTTGTGAGGCTGGGTTGATTGTTGTCATAGACAGACTGTTGACTGTGGTAGAGAGAAACTGAGTGAATTAGAAAGAACTAAGAGAACTTTTTTCTTGAGAGAACTGTTTTAAGTCTTGTGAAGAAATACAATGGAGGGAATTCTTGAGAAGAGACTTCATTGGCATCTTAAGAGAACTAAATGGTGGGTCTGTGTTTCTAGAATTGAAAAGTCAATAGTAATAATAGTTAGAGATGACTGACTGTGATTTTCTTAGAGCTGATACATTGTAAACAATTATTTATGTAAACATTTTATTGTCTATTGCATTGTTAATAAATTGTATCACCAGTAACCTTAATGATTACTTAAGACTAGGTAATTAGTGAGGATGGTATATGGAGATGAATAAAGTTTATGGGAAAAGAGGTCTTTCTAGTTTATTTAATAGATAACATTTAATAGACTGGGTAGGGGCCCAGAGTAAGTTGATTAATGAGAAATTTCTTTCAGTTTTAGCAATTTATAAGGAAATACAATGACATACCCTTTGATTGCCTTTGAATCCAAGATGAGAACGAATAAGGAAAATGTGTCAGTAGATAGGCTGGCAGAGAAGAGAACAGTTGGTACTGATCATTCAGTATACTAAGATTTTGGAAATAGCTAAACTTCTGATACTGCTGGAAAATAACTTTGATGGTGGAAACCTCAGGCCAGGTAGGAGTGGAGAGTAACACCATGGAACAACAGCAAGGTACTTATTTGGTGGGGAGGGCAGGTAGGGTCTATCAGTACTCCTAAATTTCATGATATGTGCACTGCCTTGTCCTCTCATCTATACAGTAGGTCAGGCTTGCATAGAATAGAAACAGCATAACCTCAGAGTTAAGAACATAAGAGACCATGAAAAGGGACTAGCCAAGTCACAGCAGACAAGCAGCTTTCTAGTCTCTCCCTA